TAGCATTCAGCTAACATTTAACTGCACAGCTACAGTGAAATAAAAGGCTGTTTATAAACACTGGAAATTAAGATCTGATGTATCCTTGTATCAATACAAGAAAGAGTCGGCACATTTTACAGAAGCTTGATAGACTGCTCCAGCAATGAGTCTTAAAACCTGGAAATTAATCAGCATTTCTGCTCTTTTGGTTCCCTTGTCTCAAAGTCAGTGGATTTTTTGATGGGGTTTTGGTTACGTGCCTCAAATACGGTTCACGTTTTTTTCTACAACATAAAATACGTCAGTAAATACCTGCCTGTTAATTCATATTAGTATTTGTCTGTGAAGGTAATCTTGAAGAAAACCTGTAAATATCTTAATAAACTTTTGCTCGCAACATTTAATTACATAATGTTCTGCGATAATCCAAAATGCGGAGGAGAAATTCCACTGGCTTTTTGTCAAGGGAACCAGAGTGATGCTAACTTCCGGACTGGCCTACAAAAAAAAAAAGTAATCCCTGCATCCCTGTCATTAACATGCATCTCTTTTTCTTTTTTAATTTCTTTCCACTGGAACAGCATACTATCAGAGCTGTATGAACTTTGAATATCTGTATTAATTCCTTCATTTCGATCTCTACCACTCTCAGAAGCAAGATGTCCGAGCTAAAGTTGTTACCTTACAAACATGCTGTTACTCACCATAGCCCAGGGTCCATTAGCTATCTTAGAGTTTTCTTTAAAGCACTGAACGACCACTTTGATGAAGCTGTCGTCGTAGTCGTACCGCGTACCAAACAGAACCTGGCAGATGATGTTGGAGGCTGCGTTATGGAACATAACCTGAGGACTCATCGTTGTACCTGTGGCAGATGTGAGAATGACGTTACGTTGTTAACGCTGTATCAAAGGTCACAGTGAGTGCCCCCACAGATGGCATACCAATGCTCCTTTCCAGTGTGTCCACTGTGTAATGCATCTCTCCCAGAATCCTCTGCTCCATCGATTGTTTCCCCAGACCAAAGTTCCTCAAGGTTATCAGAGCAAAGCGGCGATGCTCCTTCCAACTGGGACCGTAGTCCGCCAGAACCATTCCTACAACAGGTGCGGCTTTTGCTTAACCCATGAATGTGCTGAATTAAACAAGGGTGTTTTTTATTTTACTTTAAGTGATGTTTAGCCACATACACTCTGACGCCTCATCTCTGTCTTACCGCTCTGTGTGAGGTCACTGACAAATATGTCCTGGGGTCGTCCTGCAAAATCAGCAGCTTTGGTCATCATTGCCTCCTTCATGGCCTGAACCCCATTGATGATGACGGCCGGTTTGGGTCCCAGGAAGATACTGTAGACGTTTCCATAGCACTTCCTCAGCTGGAGCACAGAAAGAAGATCTTAAAATGCATCATGTATTAGATTTTAATCACCCCCATAAAGATGACTTCCTTTAAAAAAGTCAGCTACTAAGAGTATTGACATGTCTAACCTATTCAAATATTCTAGAGTGACTGCTTAAATATAGTTTAAAGCCAATCAGCTGTGCAAACAGGAGTAAATAAAGTTATATTAAAACATTAGCCTATCACTGCTGAGCAAACTTTGCCCATAGAAATAAAATACCTGCAAACATCTAGATGAATTAATAATCAGCAATTATTGTCAATCAGTGTCACTTGTAGCCTTGAGGCAATGCATAATCTGCACAGTTTAATTAGCTAACGCAACATGCTAAAAGCCACTCTGCCATGGAGCTACTTACTCACACTTAATGCTTAGGGACTGTTTGTTATTTATGAGGGACGAGGGGTGGTACAAATAGGGGGAGGCATGTCAAAGCAGTAGGCTTAGGGGAGGGGCATACACATTTAAATGGTTGTATTTTGTGTTTTTTTAACAGCAGATTTTTAAAGAAGACATGCCCTCCAAGCCTGCCCAGGGGTTTGCCAAAATGACACCATTTATCACAGCCACAAGCTACAAAAACAGAAAGTATTGGTGGATTTTGAAATATCCTGACGTTTCTTGGACACATTATGTGCAACAAATGCTTTTGTCAGGAAAAAATAACAACCAAACGTGACCTTAAAACAGTGATATTTCATCTAAATCATTTTATTCTACTCATCATTTAAAATTTGGCCAACATAAATTGTTTGCACCAACAAACATCAATTTAAAAATGTAACATCTCATTCAAGATGGTGAGAGGGTCACGCATTTTCCGCTAGTCTTGCAAGGCTCAAGGAAAAATATTTGTAGCTTCGGGGAGAGTCAAAATAGAAAAGAAAAATCAAGTCACACCACAGCCACCCTCCTCCTCTGACCAATACAGAACAGTCCCTTAGTGTGCATGTGAATGAGTGTGGTTATGCTACTGCTGATCAGCACCTTAACACTCAAAGGCAATGTAAGAGTCCCATGTCTGTGTTTGTCTTACCCTCTCAAAATCCCTGATGGGGTTGTCCAGGCTGAGGCTCAACAGGTTCCCGAGTATCGGCAATGGAGCAGGCCCTGGAGGAAAGTTCTTTGGTCTCTGGCATTTCAGACAGAGAATGAAGAAGAACACACAGATCCATAGCAGAATGAAAGACACAAACATGGTGGAACGGTTTAGGCTGATTTAAAGAGACTAGCTGTATGACTGGCTTTAAAAGGAGTTGCTCAAATCTCAGCCCTGCCTCCTGAGGGCTGTCTAAATGTAAGCCTATTCTACATTGTTAAGACACGTGGAAAGACACAACGGAGCAGGTTCTGACAGGCTTCGCTTTGCTTATTCAGCTACTGTATGTGTGCATTGTGACAGCCCCTATGTTCCACCTGGCCTCCCTGCTGCTGCTGTGTTTTCTGTCAGGCAGCATGATCATGATCAGCAGCATGGGACACACCTGTGACAGCAGGCACGCTACGTTTCTCTGCATTCCTGGTTACATGAAGCAACCTGCTCAGGGCCTGGAAAACATAACAACATATGAATTTTCACTGTTGCTATGGTTGCTAAAGGCGGACGTTGACCACTGCAAAATAAACAGGGCATTAATGGAAAAATATAAATAAAATAAAATAAAATAAAATTAAATTAAATTAAATTAAATTAAATTAAATTAAATAATATTAAATTAATAATTGTCTGCCAGAAAATTACTCAAATAAGACTTAAATTGTGCTTATTCTTAAAGAAATTTCCCAGAAATTAATGTTTAATCAAAATTGTGAAATTACAAATAATACATACCATAAGAACAAAACACGGTGAAGCTGCATTTAGTTATCATGCAGCACAAACCTGGTGTAACCCTCCCACATGATGTGACTCTGACCGCTTTTAAGTCAAAGCTAAAACTATTTCTTTTTACACTGTCTGCGTTTTTACAATTTTAATGGTGATTTTTGTTTTATTGTAAATTATTTAGTAATTAATTTGACCTTTTATAAATATTTTTTCTTTGCTCTTCTATTGTATATTTGTATCCTTTTTTTATCTTTTATATTTTATATTTGTATATTTATTATTATGAATATTAAAAAAGCCCTATGAAATAATCTGGTGTATGAAATGTGCTATACAAATAAAAAAAACTGTAAAATTTGTTCTGAGAAAAATTCATTGCTGCTGGAAACTAATTTTTTGAGGAAACATTTATAAATTAAGACACTGCTAAATTACAAAGAAAAAATAAATTCTCAAGCCCATTTCCCACTGGACAAAAACACCCACTTTCACCCAAGACAAAGGTTCAGTCACAAGGAGGTAAGGATCATTTTTGCCCCGGGGCCCCTCAGTTGGTTAATCCGGCCCTGTGTGCCAGTCTGACCTGTATGTCTGCATTTTAGCACCCCAAAACCTCTCAATGTGTGCCTTGTCTGTCACAGTACTTCAGCTGAGTGTCTTGTCGCTAAATCCCCAAAGTTTACTGTTGTACTGAACAGGTTAACACTGCTCAGGATGGCCTGAAATGAAACTGTAAAGTAAGTGACACTGCACGATAATGTCTAGAAAATCTGCAGCACATGCAACTTAGTTTTACCCTTCTGCACCTGATTTATTAAAGGAAAGTGTACTAACCAAATGCTTCACTGAGACACAGATATTCTCATATAAAGATGCCAGAGGGCTTCTGATTCAGGGTTCAACATATAGCAGCATTTCACATGTTGCGTCACCGGGGGGCAGCATGATCTCAAACTACAGTGGTGGTGAAGCAACTGCAGCACCAGACAACAACAGTTACAGTAAAGTGCTTAAAAAAGTAACATCATCTTCAATGCAATCGTCATGAGTCAATGAGACATGAGATCAAACAAGTTATCAAAGAGCTTTCACTTTATAAAGAAACATTTTACATAGAATAACATGAAACTGTACATGAATCAATTTAATATTGTGTTGTATGTGTATTTATTACAACAAAAAAAAGCACTTAACTAAATATATATTGAAGGAAATCACTTACTGTTAGGTCCACTTTACATTATCATCAGACAAATGAACATTTACCCAGACTTTACAGCACAGAATACCAGTAAACACAAGTGTAACTGAGTCCACCTTTGGCTTCGACACCTAACGCTGGATGTATAGGAGGTGCAGCACCATTAGACCTCCTGTGGTCTCATGAAAAACCCCCCGTGGTCATCCCTTATGACGGTCAGGGTGCAGCCCTTAGTAGATGGGTGAGATATGAGGCCGGGGAGCTTTTGGTGTCACCTTCAAAGAGACCACAAGAGGAGGAAGATCAAGAGCTATCCGTTTACACAGAGAGCGGCCCCTCAGCTAGAGGGCAGCAGGTGCAACTGTGATGATTTCCTGTGAGAGTCTCCTCACAACCACCTGTGTAAAGAGACCCAGATGTGTTCTCAGAGATTTCAAAAATACAGTACTGACACTAAAAAACTGGAAAGGAACAAGTTGATTAAACACTACAGCAGCCATTATGTATACTGTCTGTGATTGACACGTGTCACAGTGTGTCTGACCCGCATTAATCTGAGCTTTGATCAAAGTGAAACTGAAGCCACAGCGAGCAGAGAGCATTTATCCTGAAGGGCAACAGGCAGCACTGCTCCTTTGCAGAGCTCCGCTGTGCTCTATTTCTAGTGACAGTGTATGTTAACGCTTGTATTCCTCCTAAGCTCCGCGAGACCCTGAAATAGAGTGACAAGCCGTCTCCATAAATACAGAGCCCCTATGGGGGAACGTAATTGCCTTGTGAGCCTATGTCGGCTTTCGGGGCCTTCATAGTGTCCTTCACTTCTGACAGAGGAGTCCTATTCCATCCTATGAGCTCGATAACGCCACCTTAGCCAGATTATTGCCTTTCATTTTGGCCTGACACTCGTATTCCAAAAGGTCAGCCGAACACCTGAGCACAAGGCCTAGAGGCTACCCTTGTCCCCTGACCTCTGTGACCCAAACACAAAAGAGACAGCAGTGTCATATAGAGTGACTGTGGCAGAGGGTGGGGTTGTATATTTGAGGCAGGTCAAGGCCTGTCTTTGTTTATGGACAGTGTATCCGGGGAGTCGGGGGAAAAGCCAACAAGGGGAGAAACAGGTGGGATGCACTCTTTTAGATTTTCTCAAGGTTGAGGTTTGGTCAAGGACGCGTAAGGCTCGAGTGTCCCGTCATTCTTGACTTGTTTTGTTATGAAGAGTTGCTGTTCAGGACTTGAATTCTTGTCGCTCTGCATCACTCTGTTACCGCTCCTCAAAGGCAATGTGATCTGATGGCGTGATAACATCACAGCAAATATGATTACGCCTCATGAGAGTAAGGTGTCTGGTGAATGTGTTGCCGCTTTGGATTCTCCTCAAGTGGCAGTGCAGTCTGCATTTTGAAATGAGGTAGTGAGCATGGCAGTGTGTCAGCTCCAACAGTTGCTGCCACTTAGTGAGCCTTGGGTCATCTCCATGTCAGTTTCTCATATTGCTCCCACACTTATTTGTCCCATCCTGTGTTGCGGAATAACCTAGAAATAAATCAGTCCAACCATCACACCCACTCTGATCTTTTATCTTGCCCGTCATCATTGGGCTGTGGCTCTGCGCCGCTACCCAGCTCAACCAGCGTATACTGACCCACCTTTCTGGAACAAATTGCTGTCGCTGTTGAAACACTCCCGAAAGGCACTGCTGGCTCACTAGGGGATGAACCAAGGTCCCGTCTGGGCGGAGGCGGCGGTTTGAGTCGACTGCGTTTGCTAACACGGATGGATCTTGGTGTTCCCATCGGCTCTGGGGGGCAGAGAGCCACCTCGCTGCCATTCCTTTCTGGAGCCTCCTCTTGGGAGAAAGAGTAGCCATTGTTCCCGTTAGTGTTGCAGCCTGAAGGTCCTGGAGAGCGTGGAAGAGAGGAGCGCTCCAAACAGGGGGGTTCCTGACGTAAAGCAAGCACTCCCCCTCCACAAGAGCCCTTGCTGCCTTGCCTCTTCCTGAAACTCCCCTTGTGACCAGCCTCTGCCTCTAAATCCTGCTGGGCCAGGGAGGCGTTTGGGTCTATTCCTGTGGAGGCTCCTCTAGCTGAAAGGAAACACTGCTCTTCCTCATATACCTTCTCCACCATCATCTTCCTCTTACTTTTATGCTGCACAGAGCGCTTGATGGCGCAGATGAAATCCAACACGTTCAGGAAAAGGGACAGAGCAGCCACACCGAGCATGAAGTTGAGCATCACTGTCTTCTCAGTGGGCCTGGAGATGTAGCAGTCCACCTGGGTAGTGCACGGCGGATGCTGGCACAGGAACCTCCTGGGGATGTAGAAACCAAACAGATAGTAGTGAGCTGCCCCAAACCCTGCCTCCAGCAATGTTCTGAACATTAGATGGAGGATGTAGGCTCCTGTGAAGAACCGTGCCCACCCTCGCTCAGCCACCAGAGGCATCTTGTTTACAGATGTCTTGCTGAACGGCTCCTGGTGGATCTTGAATAGCGGCAAGGCTTTGGGGTGACCCGATGAGTTCAGGTCCACACTGAGGCCATTCGAGACCTTATGGACCACGTAGATGATAAAGATGATGGAGGGGAGACACAAGGTGACAAGTTGCACCAGCCAGAAGCGGAATAGAGAGATGGGAGAAAATAGATCATAGCACACGTTGGCGCAGCCAGGCTGAATGGTGTTACACACAAATCGCTCCTGCTCGTCTTGGTAGAGAGGATAACCAGCAAGGAGGAGGATCAGGAGACGGAGGAAGATCATCACAATGAGCCACACCTTCCCTGAAAAATAAGGACATGGGGATTAAAAGTGATTTGACAGTGAATCATGAATAAAGGTGGGTGAGAACTTGAGGCCGCAGAAATCAGCAGAAAGCGCTTGAGATTTCACCTTGAGGTTTATAGATCTCCATAAAAGCCAAACCATGTCACTGTACACAAACATAAACCAGTGAAGTCAACTAACCCATCAAAGTGATGTTGTGATTGACAGAGATAAAGATGACCTCAGAGGCACTTGATCCTGCCATGCTTGCTGCGCCCAAGGCCCTCCAAAATCTTCCAGTCTTCCGCTTCCAGGCCACAGAGTAAACCTCACCCTCTATCCAGCCACCTCTTCCTGACCCTTTCCACCAAGGGGCACAGTGGCTTCCAGTAGCACAATAACCTCCAGGTTCATGGACACAATGTTCCCTCAGCAGGCTGATTCTCTCCCTTTCTCCTTGAGGGAATGTGTGCCAAGTTCCGGTGGGTAAAATCCAATGTGATCCATTTGAGTCTTCACTCAAGTCTCTGACAGACCCATGTAAATACTCTTACCTCTTCCTCTGTCCCCCTGCAGACAACTGTCTGTCCTCAGACAACAGAAGACGGGAGCGAGCCCCATTGTAGGTCTATTCTTAACACACTTCCAAAGGCACGTCGCCATCCTGGAATTGCAGAGATATTTTTGTGCTGCTGGTCGTCCTTACAGGAGAGTAACAAGCCTCCAGGCTTACTCACTCTAAGTTGCTGTATTAAGTTCTCGGGCACAATGGGCAAGCATGTTCAAACTGGCTGCATCATAAAAATACAAGCATTTACTGCTGCGTCTTCCAATGATGAATCAAGGTAGCACGTAGATATGCAGGCTGTGGATTTGGTCTCGTGAAAGGTTAGTAGGTTGTAAATTGTATTTTCCCCACAGCTGATGCCAGTTTATGGCCGGTAGGTGCCTACTGTGTATATGAAATGGGTATGAAGTAAAACTATCTTTAACTGTTAATCTTAAATACATCAGAAGATTAGATAGATTCTACACTTACATTAAGTTTTCTTCTTCTGTACTTCCACACATGCTCACCTTAGTGTCGTTCTCCCTTATAAAAATGATTTTACACTGGACATCAGTTCCCTTCCCACGTGCTGCATCCACCTTCACTCATGGACAAGGTCTCTGCTGGGACACATGGCTAAAGACAGTTGGCTTGGCATAATCACTACAGATCAGTGGTCATTAGCACCTCCATACTGGCTCACAGTACCAATCCCACGCGGCTCATTTTGAATGGATTGCAAGGCAAAGATTGGGAATGTATAATGGATTCCGCTGAAAATAAATAGTGTGGGAAATTGAAGTTTTGGCTTGATAACACACGACAGAAAATAACTTACACCTACAGTTCATTTATATGTGCACAGTAGGGCTAACATTGCATAGATAGGCGTTAGATGTGTGGCACTGGGGGAGTTTGAAAGGAATGCCGAGCATTTTATTTGCTGGAGTCATGAAGTAAAACCCTAAAAATGAAACCCACAACAAACTGCCACCCTTAACCCTACTACAGAGCAGTGACTGGCACTGTTACCTCCTCAGCCTCATTTAAACTGGAACGTACCACCTGCTAAAATGAGCCCAGGGTGAGCAAAACAGGTGCAACCAATCCAAGAATACTCAACAACAAATACACGGCTAATTTAAGATACGTAGTCACAGTGATATCAACATGTTAAGCTAGCAATTAGCACACACACAAGCACAACTTTAACACAGTGTCATCAATGAAATGGTTTTACCCCGTCCCTCAACTACTTGGGAGGGCCCTGTTACTGCTCACATGATAATGATGCACACCTGTTTCCAGTTTCACTGATTGAGATGATGACCTGCAACACCACAATTTTATCCCCCAGTAGCTATGACCCATAACTATGAACCAGCAAGTAGACATGTCTGTGATTGTGAACAGAGATATATTAGATGTTCACAGTGTCACGGTAAATATCAACCACAGTGGCTGATCTGCACACCTCATTGTTACACAAAGCAAGAAGGCAAGAACTCTTTGTCCTTGCTGTCTCATCTGCTTCGACTCATTTTTATCTTTATTTAAGCTGCGTCAAAGTCAAAAGAAATGTAGTAATAGTTCCCGTAAAGCATCTGAGCCTTAGTTTATTTTCAGAGAGTAATACCTGCCGCTCAGCTCATGGATTACTGTCTATAACGGAGTGTGAACGCCCTTCATGGCTGTGTTTGAGGCCACATTGACAATATTAAAACTTTATCCATTAGCGCCACTTCCATGCATATTAACTATCTTTTCATTTCAGGCATTGCTATTTCCCACAAGTCTAGCAGCTGCTACCTGGAAGATTTCCCACCTCAGTCATTACCTGATCGTCCCCATTTCCCAATTAGAAGGGTGGAAAATCTGCAAAGTATTAAGGTGCATCTCTGTTAAGCCTAAAAAGCCTTTCTCTTGTCAATGCACAGGTGTGACACAGAACATCCCAACTGAATGAAGGGCACGGAGGCAGTGATTTGATTAAACTTCATGATGCAGAATGAGAAACTGATCCCTTTCACTATTGTCTCTCTATCATGTCTGTTTTTAGCCACACTGCTCGTGATCTAATTTACCAACAAAGGACTACAGAAAACCACTGGAGGCTGAAAAGCAATCACAAGAAACAAGATGTTGGTGATGGATTGTTTTTTCCCTCGGCAGTCATGGAACACTGTAATGCTGCAGTCTTAAGGGATCACACATGGTTTCATCATCTTAAAGCCGCACAAAAGATTTTTATATGAACACTGGGCCAGATGACAATGTGTAAAATGATAGGAGTCGTTCGAAATGATGAACTCATTGTGAAATTTACACAGTGCCGACAGCTCTACAGAGTGTTTTAGTGTCTTTGGCTTCATTGTTTTGGTTTTCTGCCTGCAACTGCTTTGGTTGAGTCTCACCGCTCTCATTAACCTCTGACCAGGAAGCTGTTTTCAGTGAAAAAATTAGTTAGCAAAGAGCATGTTATGATGGAGACCAAAACAGAGCTAAGGGATCGTGACCACTGGATTCACATTTCCAAATTGTCCAGAAACACAACTCCACATGAATGCTAATGTTGCTCCATGTCTGTAAATCCACAAATAAAATGCTAAAATTAATGAAGCTTGTTAAAAATATATATATATAATATTTTCAATAATTCTAGCATTCTGCATATGTAGCGTCTCTTAAGAAATTAATTTAGCTAAACCAGGGGTAGGCAACCTGCGGCTCAGGAGCCATCTGCGGCTCTTTAGCCCTTCTCCAGCAGCTCCCTGTGGCAATGACAAAAAATTATATAGACACAAGTAACAGTTATCTTTTAACATTTTAACTTTCATTTATCATTGTTGTAACCCTAAAGTATTTTTTATATTTTCCAACTGTATAAATATGTAGCCAATACATTGAATAAAAAATGTTTCAACATCTTGACAAATATGTGCATGATATGACTACGACCTGGCACCTTTTAGGCTAATTTAGATTAAATAGGCTGTGTTGCCGTCCCTGTAAGGCACACATATGCATTGCAGCTCCAGACAATTTTTTTTTAAAAACGTTTATTTGGCCAAAACTGGCTCTTGTGATAGTAACGGTTGCCGTACCCTGGGCCTGACAATGGAACCTTACTTTAAAGGTGCAGTATGCAATTCGAATGAAAGATAACCCCAGTTGAAAGTCTCTTTCTCAGGTCGTCAAATACTGACACTTTGGGGTGGTGGTTCAGTCCAACTACCAACCAGCAGCAAAATACGCAGCTGACAAATGAAGCCAACATGGACATGCAAAAAAACTGCAGTTCCTTGAATGGCCACTTGAGGCTGGCTCCAGAAGCGAGCCAATCCCCACAGACGTCCATGTTAAAACGCCCAAATTTAAAGCAAAAGTATACATGCATGACACACAAAAACATGCATAAATATTTACAGCCTGGTACAAAAAACAGTTTTGGTTTCAATGGCTAATCTCCCCCTTTTCTGACACCTGTACGGGGGTGGGGGTGGGGTACATTTTTATATAGCTCACCTGTTTAAATGGTTGTAAGGCTTAAAGTTGTGCATGTTCAACAGCCGAACCACTTGAGTGACGTGCTCTCTGCAAGGAATAACTAAAGTCTGTGGGTCAATTGGACCGCTTGGTTATCCACAGCTCTACCCTCTCATCCAAATGGTTATTCCTCACTCTAAATCAAGATGGCAAAGGCCAAAATGCGGAACTCGAGGCTTCAAAACGACAGTCCACAAACCAATGCAACATCCCTTATTTTATAGTCTGTGGCGACTACTATCAATGACTAAAGGCGCTAGGAGGCTGAGTAGGCTTGTAACTGTGACTTATTCAAAGAAATTCATGCTTAAGTCCAGTTAATTAAACAAAGAACTTGTAAAATGAGATGAAATGAAATATTACGTTGCATTATATAACGGTCAAAGGAAAATATCGGAGGCAAAAACTCACCCTCTTTGCCTGAGAGCCGCCACACCAGTGAATGAGCAGGTAGAATACTGTGACGCCACACCCCCGTGCTAATTACAAGTACAGGAAGTGACCAAAAGAACGTGTGCAGCTTGAACAAATAATAAACAGCAGAGGTTAAATACACATTCCCGCTCCAGAGTCACACACTGCACCTTTAACTGCAGTGTATAATGAGGTGTAACAGTCTATAGATGCCTGCTTTTTACCTGTGTTTTCTGGCCCACATTTTAAAAAAGAATAAAACTGGACTTTATTTAATTCTCTCAAAATAATGATCTGACAGCTGAACACACAAAAGTCTAAGCTGTCTGTGTTCATTAACCCAAAAGATGTGATTTCAAAACTCTGTTTATGTGTGTACAGTATGTTAGATGTAAATGTTTGATGTGGTTCAACAGAGATGTTTCGCAATTGCTCTCACTGACGCTCACAGCACCTCTTCATTGCACTGAATTGACTTGTATTGCAATTACCAGAGCAGCGATTGAAATGCAAATCAAGGCCAACACAGAGGATTAAATGTGTCCCTCATTGACAATATGGCAGAGTGTAATCTCTGTATTACCACTTGCTCTAAGCCATTTAAATGGTTCTGTCTGACAGAAGAAACCCTGCTGAGTCACATCAGCTCTACAATACAGCGTATATTGAAATAATCTGAAAGATGGTTTGAGGTCTCAGAGTAAATGTGTGAGTGTCTGGGTGAGTTGATTCTTTAGATTAAACAAGAGACACACACTGGGTTTGCTGCAAGGTTTTAAAGTTTAATTCTTGCACAGATTTTACTAAACATTGCTTCGTAAGAGAAGAATTAGGAGCAGATCTTCAAATCATAGAGAACAGAGAGAAAAAGAGAACAGATGTGAGTTTGGCAAACCGAGAACGGGAACAGAATGATTCACTGAAAAGAAAATAACACGCTGACAATAACAACAACAACAACAGAACACAGCACATGTAGAAAATATCAATCAATGAAAAACAACAACAAAAAAAAAGGTCACAGTTACAGCAGTTGACGTTTGTTAGCACGGGGGAGTCGTCATGATCGAAGCTGAATGTGTGAAATCCAAAAAAGTGTCGTTGAAGAGAGGACGAAAAGTTGAGAAAAGTAAAACTCTATGCAGAGGTAGAGTTCAGTGCACAAGGCTATGACACACCTAGTAACCAGCCGACAGGACGCCACAGGCCCACGGTCTTTGCTGTCAGAGCAAATGTTCCACCTCAGGACTCCCCATCGTCGACCACATGGCATCAACGCTCACATCCGCGTCTAGAGAACGCCAGACTGGACTGTATGCACACACATACAATAAATAGGATATACAATCTTTGATTACCTCTAACAGTTTGAACTCACAACAGCAACTCCAGTAACGTTACTTTCCTACAGACACGTTTTGCACTTTATTTTTTCACTCATTCAAAGCACCATACAAAACAACAGCTCTCTTTCCCAAGTCCCAACACCTGTTCATATACTTCATGTGCAAGAGGGCTGGCTCAGAGCGACACGTCCAACAGGATTGTCCTTCATTTCTCCATGACTTTGGTACGGTTCTGTCCCTTCTCACACCTGCTGCTCGCGGTCGGAAATCTCACTTAACTTAATGACGGGTTGATTCTCTAGTAGCTTGACAGACAACAGAAGTCACAGACGTGGAAGCTGCCAATGAAAGGCGAAAAATAAGCTCGGCTAGAAAGAGGGTACATTGATGTCACGTCTGAATTTGGACCTTCATCTTAACTTCTGTGTTACATAGAAAAATGCTTTTAAAAATCTACGTTTGTGCCTCATTTTTAATTATGTAACAGAGGAAATGTGAGTCCAGTTGATCATAAGCCAAACAACCACTTATAAAGTTTATATAATCAAAGCATTACTTCACACTTTTATCAACCCGTCGAAGTGTGAATAATACATCAACTCGCTAGAATGAATTAAACCGATTAAACTCAATGATTTTATAGGTTTACTTTCAACTACATCCCTGTACATTTTCCTTTTTCTGATTTGAGAAATGTCGAGAAAGGAGCAAATCAGGAGGTGATTTGTTCATGAGAAAAATGCTTATGATAGTTTCACTGATTTCCAGTAAATGCAACAAGTGTGGAGCCCCAAAACTGACAAAACTTTGTAAAAGGATATCAGAAAAGTCAAAAATACAGTAGTATTGTTAGTTAGATAAAAAGAAATATAAAGTTTGAGGACTTTCTTCTAACCTCTGTTGATTGAAACTTTATTTATTATCTTTCACCAAATCATTTTCCAGTTGTTTGGTTTTGGCTCACATTTAATCATTTTTCTCCCTATTTTTAATCGCACAACATTTCCAATTTAACTCATTGTATTTCAATTTCATGATGCAGAAAAGAAGATGTTCGTGACCGTATATGTCCACGGCGTGTGACTGGTCCAGCATTTGTATGCTTGTGCCGGTTCGTGTAAGATCCAGTGACTGTATATAAAGATAGACGACATGACAGCTCCCCAAAAGTGAAGCCAAAACATCTCAATCGCCCCCTGGTGGCTGGCTGCAGTATAGATCATAAACCCTGCCCCCTGCATGTGAGGGAATGGGACATGGGCCAAACTAATAAGTCAAATATTTTTCGCAAAGATGTTTTCTGCCATTTTAGGTAGTTCTTATTATGCTAACCTATGTTGAAGTGTTCCTTTTTCTCAAATTTGGTTTCAACTAGTTCATCTGATGCAATGAAAAGGGGGCGTGGCATCATGACTGACAGCTGCATGTGTCAACCAGTATGTTCCCAATCAATGGTGCCGCTTGCGACTGGGTCGGATGGGTGTGTGGCAGGAACTTCATACTGTGGCTCCACATCCCGATTGCTACTGCGTATGCTCTGGCTCCAAATGACGTCACCAGCACAAGATGGCAGCGCCCATATCAGGAATACTTTGGCTTCAATTTCGCAAAGTGGAGAAACATTGTCCATCTTTATTATCAGTCTATGGATCGATCAAAACAATCTTAACAACTGTGTAGCTAGGTAGCTAAACTGAAAACACGAATGGCTAAACCATGAATGAATTAAGAGAGCTTGATACCCAGCTGCTACTCAGCCATGCTGCCAGTTTGTCCCAGTAGCCTCTTGCAGTACTTAAGCAGCAATTTCCCAATAGACCACCATTATAAGAGAGATGTTGGTAAAACTGGAACATTTAACTGACTGAATGTGTGCCACAACCAAAACCAAATTAAATTTTAATCTACTTTATCAATTGAAGGAAACTGTCAAAGCTTTAAAGGCTTTTCCAAAAGCTCAATTTTAATTATTTCATCAACAAAAATATTCATTGATGTATTTTTGACTTGCCTGATCACCTTTTCCTATAATTTCCCAGTTACAAGGCTCCGTATAAACACAGGCATCGTTGAACACATGAATCTGGCAATGCTTCCACAGAGTGGGGTAAAAAAAATGTTTTAAAAATGACAACAAATAATAAAACAAGCCTGAATTGTCTCGTATTATCTATATACCATATACAGTATGTAACACATAAAAAAACTTGGCATTTTCTGCAGTGTGAAAACATCGTAACAAGAGAACAGACAAAAACTCTTAAGTGGTGTCTCCCATTTTAAATCTTAATACTTTGTCTTTACTTGATTTGTCATAGGAACAAGAATCCGACATATTTACCATCCCCGTCATGTACAGTAAAAACTGACCCAATATAAATATTCTAACATCATTCTGTTTTGTTTTGTTTTTTTTACAGTACGACCTCAGTCTATAGATCTGCACACCTGCGCTGTATTTACACTGTACAGAGACAATTTAGCAAAATGTATACAATCGATCTTTTCGTGAGCAGTGTTTGAATCGTCACTTTAATGCTTCCTCATTCGTTCCGCTCCTCTCCAGAACAACACAAAACAACCCTGAAGAGTCATGCGTTTAGTGGCACCTAAATGTCAATGTTCCATTTGTGCTGTTTCTTTGTAAGCTGGAAGAACCATACAAAAATGTTAAAGGAAAAAAAAATACTTCAGTTATTTGTTCTATTCCTCCAGTAGAAAGGGGAGAGGTGTTAACGTAGCTTATTACAGGCACCACAGGTCAGGACAATGGCAGTGAATTAAGTACAACAAAAGCTCTACAGTATGTCTCACGTCTGACTGAGAGTAGTGGACCAATGTCTTCCAGTCGAGTCTTCTCCCAAGTATGCATGCTTCATCGTATTCGATCACAACAACAGAGCGATGCATGGATATTGCTTTAAGTGAGTGTCTGAACGGTGGCTGGATGGCCTCGCTGTGAGAACATAGTACACGTTTAATTCCCAGGTCCTGCCAAAGCGCCCCTGAGCTAAACACCGACTTGCGTTTTCAATGTTAGCTCTCTGAATGAAAACTTGAGTTAAATGGCTACAGTGTAAATGGATGCGACGATATGTGGTCCAGTCGAATCGAACTGTACACTCAAGGTAGCGGTGGAATGTACACGTCTTCGCTTGGATCTGCCGGCAGAGCTTTCTGCTGCATGGGAATGCAAAGGAACAGATAAACACCAACAAAACACTGAAACAAATTGAGGATTTGAGCATTTTAAAAATTCAAATGTGCCTGTAAGCTGTCAAAAAAATCATCTCATGCTTCAGCTAAGAAAGTGACTGAGCAAGAAGGTTAAAAATTAAAGGAATGTACACGGCTTCCCTCGGTCGACCGTACAAGCCAGCGGAGCCTAAGAGGGAAGTGTGGAACGCTGTTGTCGCTACCGTCTGTCGCTTCTCGCATTAAGCTTGTTCCTATTTTTTTCCCCAACTTCACACAGTCTCTCATGTCGCTAGCTGCGTTTCTTCTTCTGCAGTTCGGCCTCCTCTTCTGCATTCACAAGACGTTCACTCACACACTTCAGTTTGGTTCAGCTCAGCTCTGTTTGGTTCAGTGCAGGCAGCCAGTGGGACTTCTTTTATGTACAACCAGAGAGGGTGCAATCACACTTGTAAAAGTGCCCGCTTGTGTGTATATGTGTGTATGTGTGTGTGTGCTGATCCACAGGACTGCTGCCCACCTGGTGTGCCCGCTTACCAGGCAGAATTACAGTACAGTATGTCTGACAGGTCTGTCTCCGTGCTGCAGGCGGCCACTGTTAGGAAATGATGGCCGGACACCACCGCACCACCGTCAGGTTGTCTGCGCTCACTGACCGCTTCTTCGCTTGTTTCCTCAAGTCCTTGTATTTGTCGTCACACAACCGTGAGATGGCCTGGAGGACAAAACATATCAGATGTCAGACGGAGATAATGAGGCGTACCCTGGGTTGAGATCCTTGTAAGTGTGTGTACAATATGAGACGACAATCTCAACTAAACAGCAAATATGTCGAAACACAAGAAGCACTGTCGTCTTTAATTGAGATAATCAAGCTTTAAAAAGTCTTTTGGCTGGACGGTCACTCACTCAGTTATTTTGGTTTCATCCTGTCTTATGTGATTATTGGCTTAAAGTATTCAGATGGTTTTCATGAGTATTTGAAAAAGAAATCCAGTCAGATTTGTTCTTGGCAGTCTGTAATTCTGACACGACAAAGATCCGTCAACGAGCATTAATGTGGCGCGCTAACACCGTCGCAAAAAGTTCTACTCTTCGGTTAATCAGATGTTCTGGATTATTTCTGACCTATTTTTAGATTTGTCTTTGATCCTTTTAATTAAATCTATTTTTATGGAGACAGCTCACCCCTTCCTTCTTATACTTATTTTCAAATGGTTAGTTATTTTACTTATCTTTAATTGTGTTTGTTCTTTTTGTTTTACCGTGACTCTGTTATGACTTTCCTGTCAAAACTGAAAATATAACATAAAAAAGATGACAATTTCTCAGCATTAGCAACATGAAATGACTGTAAACTACAGTTTGAAGTGATAAATCAGAACCTAAACACACAGAATACACATATTTTTAAAAGGATCAAATGGAAACTAACTGTATTTGCACCCTAAAAGTAAATAAACAAATGTTAATTTCTGTCTCAAAAAACAATCCAAAATTTAAGTATGAAGTACACAAATGTTTCCCCCTACAAATCAGGAGTTTCATTTTCAAGTCTTAAGTTCTCCTCTTGTTGCACCTTTTAGTGTGAAACAACTAATACCTGTCTTACGCCAAATGACAGACACACTTCCAATGTAGGAATAAAATCATGAGAGTTTTACCTCAGCCAGTGCATGCTCCCATGATCTTGATCGTTTGGTGTAAGGCTGTCATAAAACTCCAGCTTTCTTTAATCAATCTCTTTCTTGTTTTGTCATTCAAACAAAATCCCATGTTTAATATTATCATTAGTTTTTAGTTTACCTAAATTTCAATGACATGAACATTGGCAAAACTCCGTCATGCAGCGGAGTTTCACTAGCTCTCGGGGGTGTTGCTTAAACTACAGGCTGTACTTCCACATTTTCATACTGCTCACCACGGATGCTGTCGCCGTGGACACAAAGAGTATCAGCAGGTAGAGAGACAGACCCACCCCTCTCTCTTTAACTCGGACTAAAATCTGATAAAACGGTAAATCTAAGCAGCACTGATCGAACACATATCAAGAATATGTTACTGTATTGCCTGCTTCGCTGTGTTTAGCTGTAATAGCACGAGTTTATGAACAAGGAGTGGGTGCCATACTGTTTCCTGCAGTGAAAATAGAGGCCGAAGAAACAAAGATGAAATTGTAAAACTCTGCAGTGCTGATCAAATATAGACCAAGATTCTGTAACTGAGTTTCTAATTTCTCACCTCAAATGTTTTCAGAAACATGTTTTAGCTTACTGCATCACCCAACAGCGGGAGTCTTTATTGGTCTGGAGCGGCACAGTGCATTCTGGTAGTTGTACGTTTCCTCCCTCTTGAGCAAAAGTGTCCGTCTTCTCAGTATTTGTATCTCTCTACAGCAGCAAAATACTTCTTTAATATTTTTCTTAAAGAGAGTTTGGCATATTATTTTCCACCAGGGGGAGGATGGAAAATAATCTCAGAAGGAATCTAGTTCTTGTCTTGTAAGATCCCGAGTCTTTTCAAAATCTTATAGTGTGTGACTAAAAACTCACACCGTCTTTAGATTTGAGACTAGACATTTTATTTATTACACCTGTGCTTTTCTTTCTGTGAGAAAGGTCTAGTTTGGTCAAACAAAGAGTCTTTGGGACAAATCTGCCAGCATCAACATCATCACTAGTGTTTCAGATGCTGACTGTAGTACGGCAGAGAGATAAGGAGGGAGAGACAGATGTTGAGGCAGTGAAGATAATTACACAGCAACACAGTCCTACATCCTGTCCTTCATCCTGCAGATGATCTGCAGTGTGTGTGTGTGTGTGTGTTGAGCTGAGGCGCTTCAAAACACTAATTAGCCGCATGGCCTCAGTTCATTGTGTTGCACATCCTCAGGCCACAATAAATTGGGTTCAGATTCTACGATTTCTTTTGCTTTTAATTTTTTTCAGTGTGACCTGAACCTGAAATTAAAAACTGTTTCCAGTGTTTCGTATGTGTGTATAACTCACCTCTAGTTTCTGGGCCTTGTCTCTGCTGAGGGGCTCCAGAGGGAAGCTGAGGTTGTTGGCCTCAGCCAGGGAGCGCAGGTCGAAGTAATACTTGGCGTAGACGCTGGACGGCACGTTGATGTTGAACTGCAGCAGCTCCAGGAACTGACGCTCCAGCTCATTCCTGATGTCAGAGAGAGAAGATGTGTGAGTTGAGAAGCTTCAAAAAATCTGATATTAACTGAGACTAAAAATAAAATTAAGATAGATCTTTGAAACTGAATTGTCTGTCTACAAATAAATTCAGTACAGAGAGACTGAAGGAGACAAAGAGACAAGAGACGGGGTGTTAGTGCTCATGAGACCATCCTGGCAAATCCATCACCTCACACAGACGGTGGGTGTTATGTTCACATGTACTGCACCAATACACATGCACCGAGTAAATCCCCAGTACACCCACCACGCATAAGCCTTTCCTCATACTGAGAATGAATGATATCAAGGCAAAAGGGCTCTGAGCATTATGTGTAAAGAAGAAAATTAATCTCACATCCTGAAAATGCTATTGTCATGCTCCGCCTGATGCAGCACAGCTCTATGATCCCTTCTGCAGCGCGCTGACAGATGCTTTCATCTGTTTATCTCCAGTCACGGCCGATTCATTCTGCATTGTAACCTGCATAAGAAGCACTACCCATCCCTTCTTCCTAGCCTTTGTTCCCCACCCACGCACACTTACAGGCATGCAGCAACAGACGGGCTAAATTTAGACTCCGCTGTAGCCAAACTCAGCCTAATAATGCTGCTTCTTTTTTATCTCGCCGTGGCACTCATTCAGCTGTTCTCATCTTTTTCTTTTTGTGCGTCTCCGCTCCTCACAATTCTTCCCAGACTCCCCTGCAGTTAATTCGCAGTCAAGCTCGAGTCTGCTGGGGGGTGGAGAGGGGATTCAGCAGGCCATGTTCCCTAAAACGGATTTAAAAAGAGTAAAATTGATCTTCTGAGGCAATCTTTGGTCAAGCACTGAGTCACCGTCGGGTGAAAATGCCATATGGGCGCACAGCAGAGCCACATGCTGGGCTTCTCTCAGTGGAAAGAGTCCCGAACAGGTGGATTACAGTCATTGCTCTGTAAAATCTGAGCCCAGGGACAAGAATATACAGCCACTGATGCAGAAGCATGTGAATGCAGGAAGCTCAAAGGTCTCGGCAGTGGCAACACGTCCACAGTATCGTGTTCCCCCTCAGAATAATCCAGCCAAGATTCCTGTGGATTTAGGACGGATGTAGGGCAGACTAGTGGGTCTTCATGCTCAAGATGCTTCTTGCCTGTGTCACACACGGCAATTTCATTTGTAAGTTCAGATGACATCCAGTTAAAGCTGTGCATCTCTTTCTGTCAGCGAATAAACAGAGCGATATTTATGCATGTAGGCCTGTAAACACCGCGAATCGATACAGCTATGGCGCTGTAAGTACAACATCAACATGTCAACACAGTAAGACAACATCTAATAAGGTTTATCTTAAGGTTGAGTTGTACTTAACTGAGCCAACCTACTGTATTGCTGCTTTTTTGGGACCAATCTAAAGCCGCAACAGGAAGTAGTAAAGGGTGTCAGACAAACTGAGCAGAGGTCGCCCTGAGCATGTCCAGGCCACACACGTGACTCTGAGCACCTCGTGGACCCAGGTTGACCCCACACACACACTGTATTCTAAGCATAGAAAGACACTGAGACTGGTTGCACAAAACACCTTAAGTTTTCACCTTGAGTATGCCACTTAAGGCTTAATTTCTCCTTAGCTGAGGGACATACAGAGGTGCGCAGAATCCCTTAAAAGGTTTCATGAAGTCATTTACTGTGTTGAAAGAGATTTTACCGTGGTAAAAGTTTCTTTGGAGATTGTTTGTTTGCTTAGACTCGCTTGTGACGCCTGTCATCTTCCCACAAAGTTGGCTTATGGTTAGATAGTAGAAAAATGGCAGAAGAAAGGAAGACAAGACCGACCATATTGGTCAGAGGAGGAAAAGATTATACATCTGGAGGAATACAATCATAGAAAGCACAAACTACAAAATAAGTTTGATCCCCAAATACCAGAAAACAGAAAACGATTACTGGGAGAAACTGCAATGAAATTAATCCAGTCAATTATCTTCATAAACTTGGTCATGCTGCAAGTTGTTTTTTTCTCATTAACCTTGCTTTGGTTGTTAAGGTCTTTTGTGCAACGGTCTAGGTATTCCTTAAGTATAAGACCAAGACAAGGAGGAAACCATAAAAACTTAAGTGAACACTTAAAGGAAACCTTAAGAAGAGGGTCTTTTGTGCAACCAATTTTATTCTAAGGAAACCTTAACCGGGACTTTAAGGAAAAGTGTTTTGTGCAACCGGCCCACTAAATGAGGGTAGAGACAGGGCACGAAGGGGACGTAACAAAGACTTTTTAAGTTTTCTGTGAGAGTGAACCACTTACCTTTGAGTTCATCAAACTAAACACAATGAAATTACCTGGGTGGGAAGCACTCGGCAGCATTCGCCACCCAGATAATTATCGTCTCCCACACACAAACTGAACCAGCAAACTATAAAGTTAATTTATCTGCTGTAATTTATTTTGGCTCGCTTTCAATAGATTAAGCAATGAAAATGAAAAGTTGGCTATAAAGGCTATGTGTTATTAAGTAACATTTTGAGTGCAGAAATAATAATAAAAAACATCTCCTGTCACCTTCCTTACACAGACACTTAATTATCTTTAACACATTTAATGTTTAATAATTACTGTTGTGCAAGAGGAAACAGACCATTGGCAGCAGCTGCTAACATTTAGCGTACCTGACATTTCTGTTGTGTGCATTGCATTTCTGTGCACATTTGACAACCTCCCTATTAATAAAATGCAATACTGTGGATGTGTATGCAGCAACTCACATGTCCTCCACAGTGATATCCTTGAGAATTTGGCAGTAGTCCACGTTCCAGACCGCCTGGTCGTCCCACACCTTAGATGCCAGGAGGATTGCTCCTAGCACGATACGCTTCCAGTTGGCAGGGCAGATGTCGATCTCAGCGTACGTCAAGAGCCTCTCCAAATACACCTTAGACAAAGAGATGTCAAATATAAATGTCTCATAAATACTGATATTTTCCACTTCTTTGAACCTACAAGCTTATACACATAATTTGTCTTTTCTTCCATATAATAAACCACCATATAACAAAGCTTGTGTTCATGTGTTTAACAGCCTCTCCCTGTCTACATTCCTTTGCAGGGTTACTTTGCTGCATGACTGTCTCACAGTCTCCTGCCTCCTCCTCCAGGTAAAAACCACAATAACAACATGTCAGCAGCTGATGGAATCCAGCTTCCCTGGAGCTCACTCGTTAAAATATCCATGCGGATCGAAGCACTCCATCTGTCTGCCTCTCTCTCTCCCATTGTCAGTAGCCACAATTCCCACACAGTCTGCAGATCACAAAGCACGCAGAGCCCGCAGGCACCTCTTCCTTACAAGCTGGAATTCTTGTACAGAAGCTGATTCTTCTGATCCACTGATCATCGTTTTGTTAGAAAGTCGCTGCGGAGCATGAAAGCTGCAGTGATCTGCTGCATGGAGACGACTAAATGTCTGGCTTGCTAATGGATATGAAACAGAATAACTTAAAGTTTTCTAATAAAAGCGGCAGACTTTCTAAACATGTTTGTAGTAGGCATGATCGAACACAAATAATTAATCTTATTCGTTAGTTTCCCCTGGCTGACTGGGGGCCACATTTTTCATTTTCCATAAATAAAATGTACTGCAGGCTCAACTCAAATTCAGACCAGTTACAGTAGCTTAAAGCGCCGAAATCTGTCATTTCAGATGACAAGTCTGACAAAAAACTCTGCAGAGATGCTGTATTTTTTATGGCAGAGTGGAATATACTGTGCATTCGACTTATTATAATTCTGTCTGGATCCGCACAGTGGCAGAACTGTCAGTGTTTTGTGACTTAAAAACCTAAACAGAATCCTAGAAGACTGTGGAAAGTAGACATCTGCAAGATGATGATGATTACTGTCTAATTACTGGACAAAAAATGGTACCTTGTCGCCTGGACAAATAGAGAGACAAAGAGAAAGGAGAGGTTGAGAAAGAAATAAATATATAATCTCATCTTATTTGCCCACCACCACAGCTCAGGTGGCTAATTGGACAAGTCATGCAGGGTTGGGCTTTGTGCCTGCAGGCAGTGCTAACCTATCTCTGTCGTGGCCCAGAGTCTGCCAACAGTCACCACATGTACTGTACACTCATCTGGCAGCAGGCAGCAAACACTGAAGAAAGCCTGCATGAAATGAGAGCCAGGCCGCATGCTGAGCGATATGAATGCAACAGCAGAGAGGGAAACTATACAAACAAGCACAACAAATAATCCAGAGGCAGTGTGGATGACAAACAGCAGCCCTGCGCAAATACATTAAACCCAGATGGTTTAATTTTGTGATCGTAGGGCCTAAGCCACAGAGAAACTGGTCTTTATGGAGCTCAGAGGTTAAACTAACAAAGCGGTTGGCGACCCTTACTGTCAAAAGAGCCGTTTTAAATCTGTCTGGAGCCGCAATACATATTTGTGCCTTACAGTGACAGCAATACATCCTATTTAATCATTCCTAGGTCTAAATGAGCATTCATTAATAAGTTTTACAACAAATACCGACTCTGTGGTGCAGCTATTTAGGATTATTTGGTACTTAAACTTTGCAGCATTAGAGGTGAGGGCAAACAAATCTGTCCTCTCACTATGAAATTTCTTTTTTGGATTTGGGATCAAAAGCTAACCTCACTCAGGAGACACAAGACTAGCCGTTGCCATTCGGCAAATTTTAGGAAAAGGCACCAGGTCATAGACATATGATGCACATAGTTGATGATCAGTGTATCTGCTACACATTTATACAACTGGAGAATGTAAGAATAACATAAGGGCTACAACAATGATAAATAAAAATTATATTATTTCCATATATTTTTTGTCAAAGTCACAGGGAGCCACTCGAGAAGATGCATGTGGCTCCCGAGCTGCAGGTTGCCTACCCCTAAACTAACCCCAGGAACAGGCTAATCTCTGAAACGGAAGATGTTCTAACTGGACTAAATGTTGTAATAAGAAAATGTTTGATAAGGATTTAACAACGTACTATTTTCATATGTACAAAAAAGTATCCTGCAAGTGTCAAATCACATCTATTATTCATAACAATGGGAAGCTAAAGCACTTTATAGTTCACTCAGTAATACAGAGGTTCAATATATCCACAATCCAGACTGGTGGTTGTTGTTTTAACTACTATAAATCATAAGTCAGCATCCCAAGTTTAAACTCCAAACCATTTAAACAACTAACCAATAAAGCACTTTCTCCTGGGTTAACTGATACTAGAGTGCAGGACTATCCAGTTAGTGTTGCTAAAATTAATAAATGCCTAAAAGTGTCTGTGTGACACACCAATGAATGACCTTTGCCCCCTGAAAATGGCTGTGGTAACTGTAGAGTCTGAGCTGCAGAGCTGCAGCTTCACATGTTACAAAGTGCAGTGTGTCTCCAGTGAGTGTCATTTTCTTGGTGCCTTTTCGTGGAAATCTTGAGCAATGATTCGTCTTCACAAAGGAAGACATGCTGACTTTCTTCTCCATCCTGTACAGAAACAACCCCTCTCCTCTCCTGTGATGATGTCACTGCTGGGAAGGGAAGGAAGACTCCCTTATCTAAAGTTAGCTGTGTCAGCTAAGCTAACCCCACAACCACCAGCCAACAGCGCTATTCAGTTACTGATGGCATGCCACACTTTACTCTGGGGGACTGGTAGTGGCAGGACATGTGCCAGCGTGTGTGTGTGTGTGTGTGTGTGTGTGTTTTAGTTTTGTCTGACACATCTTTGTTAGAGCAGTCTTGCACACGGATAAAGACACAGAAACACAACAGACACTGTACGTCAGCTCGCTCGCTTGCTTTCCCATCACCGTCCGGCCACAAGGGTCCACCCATAACATGCAGTTAACGCATTTGTGCATCTGTCAAGAAGCAGTGCAACTCAATACGAGGCCACCGGGCCAGCCGCATTAACCCTGCACTTCCCTGTCTCCTGGGACACACGCGTCGACCGGAGCGACAAAGTGTGGAAAGAGATGTTTCTGGGCAGATGAGCGAGAAGGGAGAGTTAAATTTCGACTAAATGTGGCTGATAAAAGTTGGGAAAAACAGCACAAGTTAATTAACCTTATGCATCAATTTAAGATTAGATATGTCTGTCTTAACCTGGTAAAATGATTACTATTATTAAGAGACAAAGTAAGGGAGTAAATAAGGAAAGAAATTAAATGCAACGGGGAGTAAAGCTGTCCTTGTTTTGATGTTTTTGATCCAGGTGAGCAGCTCAGGATAAGCTGTGGACCGAAAACCTGCTGTACAGTAAAGCACCAATTATATCCTTGCTACAGGCGCAGACACACTTTACACACCAAGGTAATTCTGAGAGGAAACTGCACAGATCAAACTGATCCTGTCACCTTTTTTGTATCATCCAATTTTCTGCTCTCTCCTGTGAGAATTAGTTAACTTTCCAACATTTTCGAGGGACACAATCTCTGCAGAGATTTATCGAGCATTTCACAGGATTCAGGAGGAAGAAATGAGGTCCAAAAATAAATCAGAGAAAGGAGCCTAAGGAAGGCGACAGAAAAGAATACACAAGGGAAGGGGGAAAGAGAATCAGGAAGCAACACTCCCTCCTGGTGTCAGCACTGAAACGCACACACACACATGCACTTACCAATGTGACAATGGCACACTCGGCGGTGAGCTGTGCGGCGCTGAACAGCGTCCTGACGAAGCGGTAGATCTGCTTCTGCTCAGGGTCGTGTTTGTCATAATCAGGAGGAATTTCAGACTTCTGCAACAGAAGATAACAAACAAAATGAAAATGAAAGAGTTGCTGTGCTGGCAACATTTGATGTGACTGTGACCAAAATGAAAACACAAGCTGCTAGTTGAGACTGCTTACAAATGTGTATTAATTCTGAACGGAGTGCTTTGTAGTTTTCGGAAATGAAGCATCAGGCAAAGCGGTGATGTAATGTTTTGGATTGACACTCCAAAAAAAAAAAAAGAAAAAAAAAAAAAAGAACTGAAAATACATTTCAATGATCCAGATGGCTCCCAAGATTACGAGACAGATTTCCCCCCTCTATGTGATCCATTTGGGTATTTGCTGTTCATCAGCGTGTGCGGTTTGTCTTGCTGATGAGTCCTGACACTTTTACAGCGCTCGCATCGTGGAAATTTATCTTTGGTTGAGGCCTTACCGAGAGCGGGTGCAGTTTCTCATCGAAAATATCTAGCAACATTCTTCCGTCGATGTCTCTGGAATGACAAACAGATTGGAGGAACATCAGGGTATGATAGAAATAAAAAACAGGTGGCATGAGACTCATATCATTTGGTGTCAGACTGCCTGTTCAATACGCCATTTATGGGCATTTATCTGCGCTTTAAACAGCTAGGATTCCTACAGGTTATCATGTAACGACACAAAGAAAAGGTTGTCTCTTCATCATTCGACAAGCCCACATTTTATTGCAGGCTTCACATGTCACAATATCTAAAGAGTCTGACATTTCAACGTGAGCTTAGGGAGTCAAAAGGGGCCATTTTCTTTCTATCTTTGTTTGCTAACCTCTGACGCTGATATCTGATGCAGGATTGTAAGATGAAGCGCACATAGAGAGACAAAATTTCCCATAAATGAGTGGAAACACTTGTCGTACCTGTTCTTTATGTGGTAGTATATTGCGAGGGCTACACTGTGAAAGGAAAAACAGACATCACAACAAAGAGTCAAAACATTTCCTCTCATTGTGGACAGATATTGATCATTACATTATGATTATTCTCTCATGTTTGGCGAGTACAGTTACCATTTGATGGTGTATTTGAGGTTGGGCTGACTGACAGTGCTGTCGTCAAGGAATATGGTGGAACAGGAGCTGTACTTCCGTCTCACTGGGCCTGGATGATGCTGGAATTCACACGCACATACAGACATACAGACAGACACACATATGCGTCAATCTATATTTCAGTCGTACGCGGATCGGCCAAGAGGCCTGCTGACAGCCATGGAAAGTAGGGCACCTGTGAGCCCACAAACTAATTCTGTCTGTCCTCTGGCAGCGCCGGACATGGTTGCATGCAGGAATGGCATTTATGGTGGAGTGCATCTTCAGAGAGGCCCCAGACTTTGATTTAGTGATGAGCTTTCTTTCAAAGTAATTTGCATGATCAAAATCAAATGAATCTTTATTATTTTTAGGGATAAACATGTCACTGATTCATCACTAAATACAGCATAATTCAATAATTCCTGCACTTGGGGCAGAGGGAGTGAAGGACAAAGATGGACTACACCACGATGTGATGAAATGGTTGTGACTACATTATTTTTCTACGTCTAAATAATGACTTAACTACATCCTCTGCACATATGGCTACAGCTCTAAGTGTGTGGTTTGAAGAGGGAGGGGCAATGATTAAAGGGTTGAGGGTCATTTTGAGGATTTTACCTTGTTCTCCGAAATGTGTGTGAACTTGCAAAAAATACAAGACATTAAAATCACCAGTTGCACCCTTAGAAAATTCACAACTGTATCACACTTGACAGTTAAATGACAAAATTAACATCATAGTTTCAGGCTTTTGTGCAAGATCCACTGCTGCTGTTTTAACATATCATACATAGTGTCCTTTATCGTACTCACATGGTTGATGTAAAGGCTCTTCCGCTTTTCTCGAACTGGAAAAGGAAGATGAGAGAGCAGGAGTCAGTGCTGCCTTCAAGCTGGGTATGAGTGCAGTACACAACCCTCACAGACAGGGAGCAGCATTTATCCAGGGTTAATAAGTTCCCTATCAGTGCGGATTTTGAGAAAATATTGGATGAGCAGCTTTTTCTCCTCTAATTATTCTACACTACATTAAACAAAGCATGGCAGCTTTGGCAAACAGCATTTGTAGCATGAAGAAAGGAACATTTCCAAGCCTGCAAATAGCTTTTCTGTCCTGCTACACTAGAAATTGTGTTTTAATGTGTGGAAATGGGTATGAGCTAATTATTTAATCCATTTATCATTTTGGCCTACATGAAATTAACCGAAGCATGGTGGCTGTTTTATTCCAGAGGAGACTGTTATTGGAGCTTCATACAGATCTGCTCATTTGCAATGCTAATTCTGCTTAATGGACGTGATGATTTGTTAGTTTTATAGCGCTCACACACACGTACACAGCTGTGGGTCACGCGATTGTGTCTGTGTGTGCATCCATGTGTGGTTATGTGTGTATGTTCTCTGTAATGTAGCAGAACACACAAGGGGGGGCTGGCAAAGCAAACTGGAGCAGATGCAGAGCGCAGCATCGCACATACAGTGACGTAGCGAGCTGTCTGGCACCTCTCATCCTGGCGCTGTCTGTCTCTCACCTCTCTGACACACACACACAGTCTAATGCACGTGTTTTTTTTTTCCACTGGGCAGTCGTGACTGTGAGCGCTGCTTTCTAGTAAAGCAGCTGGCTCTTGCGTCATAATTAGGGCGTGAAAAAACATGGATTTCTGAAATAATAATTGCGAGAATCATGTTGTCTTTTCTACAAATCAGTACTGACACATTTAATATTCTCCTTAATGATGAGCTGTGATGCTCGTGTCCCTTTTGAATCCTGACTTTTACTTCACAAACACATTTTCTTGCAGTTCAATTCACACTGGTACACCCTATAGATCTACATGCACATGGGAACATACACACATTCACACACACATAATGATATCAGCAGCGCAGCAGTGGAGGCACGTCATCCGCTAACAGAAGACCAAACAGATCAAGTACAAAAAATACAATAAAGCTTGAGACCACATAAAAAAGTCGAGCCCAAACACACAGTAAGCATAAAGCTACCCGCCTACTGAGACCAGACACACACATGCTTACCTCTCTTGTTGGGCACTGCAACTGAAAAAACACAAAGTCCAAGTTGTGTCTGTGTCCTGCATTGGCATTTATGTACAATATGTTGAGAGAACAGGCCAGCAGACATTCACACAAGAGCTTGATAAGGCTAATAAAAGAGCATCAGCGCCTGATATCGGATCAATCCATCAGCCTTCAGGCTACAAACTCTTCAGCTGAAGCAGCTTTTCTCCAGTGTGTGCAAAATGGAGCAATATCAAGCCTCTTATCATCAAAGTAAAGAGATTACGGCTAAAATGGAGCTCAGAAACCAACTTCATCACATTTTGCTTGATTAAAATGCATTACTGTCACTCAAGGTCCGGACGGCTCCAGGATCAGTCTCTTTGCCTGATAGAGATGATCAAAACGCCGCAGTGTGTCTCAAAAAAATCTGACGCAAAGGCAGCTGGTAGAAAATTTCCAAAGGAGCCTTTGTGGTGGATAAAAAATATGCTGATCAACAGTGCTCCACATCTGAAATCCCTGCATCAGTGAAACAGCTTGCCTTCCTGCGAAGCTGGCGGCATATGCCATTGTTTGACTCGCTTGAGTTTGAAAACATAAGGATACTTTTGAAATTATTTTTGCAAGCTGCGGTATCGCTTAATGTGCAATCTGCCATATGGTAACGCTGCTCTCTTGATGACGTCTCTCAGCAGGGTTTTTGAGAATCAATGGCAATTGATAAAAACACATTCAGTCGGCATGAATGGTCGGACTGGCCCTGGGAGAGTTGGGGGAGTTGATGTAAAGTGGCGAGAAAACATTATGAAAAATACACTAAAGAGTTGTGTGTGTCTGATGCATTCATGGGACGTCCACATTACTGTAGTTGTCATGATGTACACTTAAAAGCTGTGTTGAATTGTATCCAAGCAGTACAATGTCCTCACAAATTTTGTATTAGACTGGTGCTTGTTGCGTGTGATATATTAGGTAGTGGTGTGTGATATACAAGGTACTGGATGTGGCAACAAATTCTTCAAACTGCAGTCTTCAGGCAGAATGCACACGCTGATCTTGAAGCCATCAGAGGTCAAAACACTGAATCCAACAAAAGCAATGGTGATCAGAAACTCTTTCGAGGTAGCTGTGGATGAAAATCACCCATTACAGTGTTGCCCTAATCCCACTGCTTTTACGTGAGTTTCTAGGCTCAATACAGCCATCACAATTACACAATAACCTTGCCTCACGCTTCATCGACCTCACTAAGGCAGGCCCTGTGTATTCCTAAAGTTACTGTGGCCCTAGACATATTTAACATGACATTTGCAGACACCCTACATAACTGTCAAAGCTTCAGAAGTAGGTTTGGGAGAACTGCAAGGTGTTTATAATGCTCACCGTCAGTCTGTGACTTGCTGAGGAAGATGGTGCTGGCCCGGGGATGATCTGAGGGATTGTACTCCATCGGCAGATCTGCAAAAAAGAGGAGAGAAAACATGAGTCTTAACAGGCAGCACTCAAATCAGACATTCGATTTTGAGAGTTTAATTCAAAACTGATTTGTAAACCATCTCAAAAACCTCATGACCAGCCACAAAACCAATTTGTTTTTCAGTCTTTTGCCAAAACGATACTCAACAGAATATATGAATACCTAAAACACGGCGTGGAGTGAAACCTCTCATCCTGAGGTTAAACGTGTGGGATTGGCTTTAGGGGTTAACCACCTCTCTCGCAATGGACCGAAATGAATGGAAAAACAATCTGTCAACCGACAGTTTGCTGCACCAGCGCTGTGTAAACAGCGGTTTGTAAATCGATGTGCTAAGCAAACACACCAGAAAGGTATAGATTTGTTTTAGATCATTGTCTGCGTACACGTACCACCTAGGATCAACAGGCAGATCAGACAGTAGCTGGCAATAGAGAGACGGCAATAAATCACAAGAGAAAGATCTTCGATGGAGCTCTGATCGCAGGTTTGTACAACATCTACTCTCTGAGTCTGACACTGAACTGAAGTGACTAAACTCCACTGAATATTATCAGATTAAGATGTTAGTGTGTGTGTGTGTGTGTGTGTGTGTGTGTGTGTGTGTGTGTGTGTGTGTGAGAGAGAGAGAGAGAGAGAGACTAAAGCCTAGTTCACATTACACGATTTCCACCGTGATTTTGACGTCGCAGAAGATCTTGAGAGCCACCTTGGGTCGGACGTGAGTTGGCAGATAGTCTGCCACGACAAGTCCTCATGTGTAAACAAGCCTACGAGCAAGTCGCCCCCTCGTCTGCGACTGGGACTGGATATCTGGCATGCCAGAAAACAAGTCTGACACGACTGACAAAGAGTGTCAGCCAATGAGAGGCGGAATACGTCCCATGTCAGCACGCAGGAGGGCGGAAGAAATGTGAGGAGGACAAGCCGCAGGGTTGCCAGGTCCGCTTACTAGCCGCGACTTTGGGCTTATTTCTAAAGTGGAGTTGCTTATTTGGGTTTGCTCTCTAAACGACACCTCTCTGTATATATATCCGTCTAATAAGTTATTTAAAGGCATGATGTTTCCATAGCCCTGGTTGCGTGTTTCTCTCCCAAGATCTGGCAACACTGACAAGCCGACAAGCAACAACAATGGTGGCGTCCACGGGATGATGGGGAGCGCGTTGTGTTTGGACCCAGGCCCTGGAGGCAGATCTGATTCAACACTGGGCAGAACATCCATGCCTTTACGATGTGACGTCTCCAAGTTTGGTGACGTCACCGCATTATCTGGGGCTCTGTCGGCGAGGGCTCGATGGAGAAATCTTGTGGTGTGCACACACAGGTCACAATGCAATTGGCGAAACTCCCGCTGACAAAATGAATTGAATTGAAATTGAATGAATACTCCAGCTTCCTCCCACAGTGCAAAGACATGCAGGTTAATTGGTGACTCTAAATTGTGCGTAGGTGTGAATGTGAGTGTGAATGGTTGTCTGTCTCTATGTGTCAGCCCTGTGATAGTCTGGTGACCTGTCCAGGGTGAACCCTGCCTCTCACCCAATGTCAGCCCCCTCGTGAACCCCAAAAGGATAGGTGGTTACGGAAAATGAATGAATGAATGAACGAACGTCACATGTTTATCCTTTGATGACTGCCTCAGGCTAACTGGAGTTTCCCAATGTGTGACAGTACTGCAAAATGATTGAGCTATTGACTTTTTTGATCAGTTGATGTATCTGTTATTGTATAAAATGCTAAAAACAAAATTTAAAAATGCCCATTCAAAGTTCCCAGAGTCACAAATCTGTCCATTTAGCAAATTACCTTCCAGCTTTTAATTTTTACCGTAAACATACTATGTTCCCTTGTTAGATGTACAGGTGCCAAACCAGAACCAGCTACAGATGCTGTTGCCTGGCAGACAGCTGCTATGTAAAACCACTGAATATATCAGCGTCAGCTTTGTGTCCTACTTCTTTGCCCTGATTAAATCCCATAGGCAAGTTTTTATTGTTAAATTTTAAACAAGACATTTACACTTTTTTGCACTGTATGTTTCATAGCTGTGGCTCGTGACACAGAGAACCAGTGTTGTTTGAACAGTGGATTGGTATTACATCTCCACGGTTGCTTGAATTTTATGACGGCCTGGTGAAGGGATCTAATATCCTGAACAACCTTAAATGAAACCTTTGTTGACATAAAATTATGATTATTACCGTATTCTGGTCAAGGTTAATCATTGACTAACACTATAACTCTTAAAATCTCAACACAGCCACTACAAAAACAGTGTGGGGTGGCGACCCCATCAGCAGCTTCCTGGTTTCTCCGGTGATGTCAGTGAAACAGGAAGGGTAGACAGGACCAACACCCAGACAGACGAATAGAGAGAAAGAGAAACCCATGCCAAGAGACAGAAGAAGAGTGACAAGCTGATAATGAGAGAGAGAAGGGCAAAAAGGACAACAGAGCTGAGAATGAAGTGACGAGTGACGGATTTGAAACATGATTGACGGGGAGAGAGAAGACAGCAGGGGCGGCGAGAAATGATAAAAGAAAATAGAGATGGGGGGAAAGGAGTCGAGAAAGATGTAAGGAAGGAAGTGCAAACCTTGAAGAACTGAACATGCTTGATGTTAAACTTTAGTTATTAAAACACACGATGTAATGGTGACTGCAGAACATACTTCAGATCACACAGCCTCTTTCAGTACACTGCAGGTTACACATGCGAGCCACTGCTATTGTGTCCAAACTCTTTTGAACTACTGTCTTTTTGTGTTTGAGGGCCACTTAAAGAGCCTCAAAGGACACACACACACACACACACACACACACACACTGCAGTGATGTAGGAGGATGTGACACATGGTGCTGAATAAAAGATGGGTGTGTGTGAAGAAGCAAAGAGCAGCGGAGGAGAACTGAAGGTGGATTAATGATGTTGTGCACACTGCTCATCCATTAGTGACATCGGCAGTACACACATCTGCAACACACCAGTCACAAATAACAGTTGAACAAATGTCTATGTTAAAATTCCCTAAAGCTGTTTTTCTTGACTCCAGATGATGTCATATGTTCAACACAGGAAGCCGGCTGACCACAGACCCAGGGAGCGTCCCTCTACACGGCTCGTGTCAGCGACATTTACTGCGGTTCCACCCATCCCCAGTTTTCTCCAACCTGGGGTAGACGAAAGCACCCAACTTCCTGCGTTTCAGGAAGCGGAGAGGAAATGAAGTAGGGGGTGACGGTTACTCATTGTTAGGGAGGCAGGCTGAACAAGGAGTGGAGGGAATAGGTCAATGTGTGGATGCAAGCCAGATGTGTTTTAAGTTTCACTGTTTAGTCTCCTACAGAAAGCCTGCAGCACACACATGAACACACCGACATAAGAATAGAAACCAAAAGAAGATGGACACTAAAGCAGTCGCAGCTCATCGCACTTATTCCCATAGTTGTGCTCTGATAAATGAATACACGTCTATGTGTTTCCCCGATGCAAGCTGAAGGCCCATTTCACAGTTTCATTGAAAGCAAAGGAAATCCATCACCTGGGCATTGTCTTGTCAGCGACAAGCGGCTGCACAGTCATACAATAATAAACAGAGGGTAGGGCTGGGTAACATGATACAGTGCCCTCCAAAAGTATTGGAACAGTGAGGCCAATTCCTTTATTTTTGTTGTAGACTGAAAATATTTGGGTTTGACATCAAAAGATGAATATGGGACAAGAGATCAACATTTCCGCTTTTATTTCCAGGTATTTACATCTGGATCTGATACACAACTTAGAAGATAGCACCTTTTGTTTGAACCCACCCATTTTTCATGAGAGCAAAAGTATTGGAACATGTGACTGACAGGTGTGTTTTGTTGCCCAGGTGTCTCCCAATTACATTGATTATTCAAACAATAAATAGCACTGAATGTCTGAGCTCAGTTTCAGATTG